GAATTTTTTTTCACTGTGAAACATAGTGTGCAAAGATGCAGTGGATTGCACAAATCAATTGTCTGCCAGTATGGGGCGATCAAAGAAAAAGGACTGATATGATGAAATGTCAAATACCAGTATACCAAATACTGTAATAAATCTGCATGTTGCCCATCAACACAAGCCCTCCTTGGTAACACGTGTACTGGGAGGGGTTTTTATTCCCGCAGGTTTTATGTGGCTGCCATTTTGGTAACTGTAAGGTTATTGGCTAAACTCTTTTCAGTCACTGGCTTTTTGAACAAAGCTGTGGCCTTGTCCTATCCACCTAAATGTCTGTGAAGTATTATAACTATTCCTCACCGCATAAATTATTTTTATTTATTTTATTTTAAGTTAGTGTTTAATATAGGTCTTGAGCAGTCATGATGTTAGTGGAGAGACAGTGGCACAACTTATGGTTGCATCATGTGTTGACATTGTAAACTGGCAAAAAAAAGACCTGGCCTCAATGCAATCCTTACATGAACCTACCAAACACACACACTAAAATGAAGAAGCTACTTTTTATTATACTTCCTGTTTTTCCAGTTGATACCTTCTCATTATTTTGTATTAGCACTGCTCTTTGAACTGAGTCATAGAAGCAATATCATTATCAAACCTAGCTATATGTTGGCTGCCATTACTGACCTTCTTCTGAAAATGCAAGTTGATTGGCTGTCTCTGGCTTTAAAACTTTATGGCACTGACCAGGAAGCAGCATGCAAGTCAGGGTGAAGTCAGGTTTAAAAGTACTAGAGCCACTGTTTTAGCCAGCAACTAGCATTTTCAGAGGAAAGGTGGCAATGTTCATGCTTTCTCAGTACAGGTGTCCTTTAACCACTTGCTGACCGGGGTGTTTACACCCGCTTCCTGTCCAGGCCATTTTTCAGTATTCAGCGCTGCGGTACTTTGACTGACGTTTATTCTGCCATGCAACACTGTACTGAAATGAATTTTATACCATTTCTAGGGGACAGATAGAGCTTTCGTTTGGTGGTATTTAATCACCACTGGGGGTTTTTTTTTTATATATAACAAAAAAGTACCGAATATTTTAAGAAAAAATGGTTTTCCCTTTATTATTTTAGAAAACAATTATTTTTACCCAATTTTTTGGTAAAATATAAAAGGCGGGGTCGCATCGGGTAAATAGACACCAAACATGTCAAGCCTTAAAATTGCGCGTGCCCGCAAAATCGCAAAAAAATCACCATAGCCAAAATTTGCCATAGGCGACGCTTTACATTTTTTTACCGCTCATCAGTTTAGTGTTATTAGTGATTGATGGCCCTAGAATTATTGCTCTCACTCCGACGTTTGCGGCGATATGTAACACGTGCAGCATAATTGGGGTAATCGACGTTTTTGCGTGTAGGCGCATGTAATGCATTTTTGCGCATCTATGTGGGGGTGGGGGGGGGGGTTTGTTTTGGCTGGGTAACTTTGTATTTATTTTGTGAGATTTTTTTTTTATTTTGTGAGCATTTTTTTTTTTTTACACTTAACTTTATTGTTACCACATGGGGTGCTCCTATGTGATAACAAATTACAGTTACAGTTCCCCTTTACAGTATGGAGACATCAGGGGTCTCCAAGACCCCTAATGTCACCTAGGGACCCCCAGAGAAACTGATGAAGCACAGATCGGCTTCATCAGCTTCTCTCCGGTTTCTGTACCGGAGAGTGACAGAGGAATGCAGAAGTGATGTAATATACATCACTTCCGGCATTCAGAGACCGGGAGGAGATCGGAGGGAGATCGTGGACTGAACTCCCTCCGTTCTCAGTGAACAGAGCCACATAGCACGGGATGGATGGACACCGGGATCGCGGGGACGACGGAGGCGGGGGGGAACTTATTGTGGAACCTGGCCTTGGGGAGGGGCTGTTGTCGCAACCGATGGGAGCCGAGAGCTGATTCAATTGCAGATGGCATCTGCGTCCTGCAGTTGCGACAGAAGCTGCATACATCGCGTGCTGGTTACTACTTAAAGCGGCGCGCTGTGTGTAGCTTGTGAGAAGATACACTATTAGCGTAGCGGGAGCGATGCAAAATGTGCAGCCGGCAACCGGGCAGTACACCAAAACAGTCCTCCCAGGGAAGAGGGAGAGGAGCGAGGACCAAACCCTGCGCTGTACTGGGTACGGGTGGCTCGGAGGTGTTTGGAGGACAGGAGTTATTAGGTGCCCAAAAAAACCCATCTTTTTTCTTTCCTTTTTCGATCATATGAACTAAGCTGCTGTGCTGTCCCCCCAGCCCCAGGCCAGACACCAAGCCTCAACTGCTGCTATCCCCCCAGCCAGCCCCAGACACATCTCACTCAGCTGCTGCTGCTGTTCCCTTCCCCCCAACTCTAGATCGTGTAAACACCTTGCCGATTCCTGGCGGGGGGGCACACGGGGGGGCAAGTGAAAACCTAGGGGGGGCAATTGCCCCCCCTTGCCCCCCTGTAGCGACGCCACTGGTGATGTCACACGCCTGTTGGGGGGGGGGACAGGTTATTTCTTGCTTCGGGCGCAAAAGGAGCTAGCTACAGCTATGCTCCCGCAGTGCTCATGTGGCTGCCGGCTAAATGTGTTAGACGCCGCAGACGGAAAGGGGCAGGAAGCCTCTCCCCGTGTGCAACGTCGGCCACATTCGGCCACACGAGCACAGCGGGAGGACAGGACCCGGCGCCTCTAGAACGCACTGGAATGCAAGTTTTCCGACTCCCTGTTCAGGGGCAGGAGGGGGGGTGCGGTTGTATTGAAGTCAATGGCACCGCAGCCATATCATCCCCCCCACAGCCCCCCCGCACATAGTGCGATCGCCTGACTGCTTTCTGGTCCAGTGCAATCTGCAAAAATAGTGCTTGCAGCATTTTTGCAGATTGCACTGGACCAGAATGCATTCTGCATTCCGGGTGTGGGCGATCGCACTGCGGGTGCGGGGCGTGGCTGCGGTGCCATTGCCCTCCCCCATCCCCCATCCCCCTGAATGCAGGTCTTTTTTCCTTGGTAGATCTCATTAAGCTTGTTATTTGAAAAGTAGATCTCTGAACGAAAAATTGTGGGCGCCCCTGATCTAGACCTTCACGCGGGGCTAGAGAGAAATGTTGGCTAATATTTCAGTTGATGCTGACCATGTACAGTATAACAAGGGCTCTAAACCTGACCATGCTTTATACAACCTGATTGCACAATCTCAGATCTGCCAACAAATATGTTGTAAAAGAGCCTTTGCAATGGATACGCATAAATCCTCATTTTGCATAGTTTGGTAAATCAAAAAGAGATTGTACAGTCAATTACATCATATATGGCCAGTTTAGCATCTCACACAAATGGATGTGTGGAATTCGTAGACAGGATTCATTTATATAGGCAAAATAGTGCTATACAGCATTGCAAGGGTAACCAGTGGACTAGTCATGAATAAGGGAACTGTGGTGATCGAAGACAACTGTTTATGATAAATCAAAGAATCCTTGTGCAAGTATTAAGGCCCCTTTCACACGAGCGGTCTGATCAGATCCACCTGTCAGTTTTTCAGATAGATCTAATTGGGAGCCCAATATAACTCTATGGGCAGCCGGATGTAAGTGGATGTTTTGAGAGATGGATGCACTTTGGTGGGAACCTGGAAGCAAATTTGAAAGCAGTTTGAATCCCATGTACAGTACATTAGACCTCAATGTGCTCATATAAAGCCACTTTTGTAATCTATCTCTTATCCATTCATGTCAGAGTATCTTAGAGGTAGATAACCTTGGCTCTCCAGCTATGCTGAAACTACAAATACCATCATGCTTCTGCCTCTGGGAGTCATGTCTGTTGCTTGCAATGCCTTGTGGGATTTGTAGTTTCAGCACAGCACAGCACAGCTGGAGAGGCAAGGTTGCCCACCCCTGCACTAGACCCTCCAGACATGAGACCTCAAAAAAAAAATACCTTGCTAAATCAGAAGGCCAGGGTCTACAGTGGTCCTGATGTGAGGTCAGATTAATAGCACATCTGGGTCTGCTGAGCTGTAATTGGAGGTCTCCCCTCAATATTTAGAGTCACTCTGACTTTAATTAAGCAAATCATGCGCATTTCATTGCAGTCACCATACCTGATAAAGAGACTAGAGCTGTTTAAAAAATTTGCAATTTAAAGCTGGCCGCACACATTACAATGTAAGGGGTGCCACCCCTTTCAGGTTTCCCGCCAATTAGTACCAACACTTTTCTATAAAGAGCCTGTTTGGCCTTTCAGCATGATGTAATGGGAAGCCATGCTAAGCTTTCTATCTAATCCCATCATTGTAGTTCCTGTGAGCTCTTGGCCACTGGGCTTCTCCCTGCCACCATAGATATAAGATTTTTACCCAATCCAATCAAAGGTGGTATGTGTTTTCTCATGTCTGTGACTTAATGGCATTATGAGATTGGATTATGTAATTAGAACAGGATGGTATCACAAATGTTCACACCTCACACCATGGGACAATCAACATCTGACCTTCAAACATTCCATGGTGACTGGATTACGGTGACTGAGTTGCTCATGTGGTTATAAATGCTGGGGTATGTTCCTGACATTCATCCGAACTAAAAAAAAAGCTGCTTGGATAGGCTGCACAACATCGTTAACATTAAAAAGCAAGTCCAGCTGAGTGTGGCTATTAGTAGCCATGTATGACCTGTATAAATAAGAAATTACACAAACACATCTGTGGGATACTTAACATATAATCAAAGATGTAGCAGTAATCTAATGTACTCAACAGATCTCAGAAGTGTAATGTTCTGTGGAAATGTTGTCAGGTGATGTAACAAAATGAGCAATGACAAAATTGTGTTGAGTAAGGAGTAATTTCACCACTAATGGAAATCGGTCTTATCACTGTGTAACAGATGTGTGTTGAGATAGCATTACAGTGGAATTGTGAGCTATATAAACTTCTTGTTCATAACATTTTCACAAAGGGACACATCTGGACTGATGAAACCATGGAACTGTTCCGTCTGTTCCTTACATCACTGTGCTTCCTTCTCTGTGAAGGTAAGAGAAATGAAAATATTTGAAATATTAAACAAAACAAAAAGAAAAACTTTGTAAAAAATATTTATCATCATAAAACAGGCCAATCAAAATGGTACAATAATGCCTAACAACCAATCACCTATAACCTTTCATTATTTCAGAGCAGCTAGAATACTGATAGATGATGGCCAATTGGTTTCTATAAGATAGCATATCCCACTGTGACCATTTATTGAACAAGTCTAAAACCATCGTCTTTCTAGATTGGTGTATCAGAGGGGTTTCCAGCTTCATCTATGAGTTAGGAATCCCCTCCACTTGCTGAGTATTGATGACCACCCCACTCTTCAAGTTCTAATCTGAGGCTGCCACAGCAATTGGAACCCCTCTACCTTTTCCAAGGGTGACCCCTTGCTTTCAGTATTTTCCTAGTTTTGGAACTTGCATATAGCTTCTAAAATCCCATTGAAGCAGAGCTCTAAAAGCTATTGCGAATATCTTTTCATTTCCACATTACTCTCTATGTGCTATAATATCTAGCAGTGGGTTTTCTTTCATTATCCTCAAAAAACATAAAATAGAATCAGAAAAAAAAAATTCCATAAAGAAAGACCAACAGATCCCTCTGATTATATAAATATAATATTTCTAGTTGTAAGCCAAACTTCATCAAGTTTTATTTGCCTTCCTGTGCATCATCTGGGGTATAACTAGTTTTAGGTTTGAATTAAATTGACATAAATAATTTGATCAGATTGAGAAATTACATATTTAAAAAGGAGAATTATGAGGCGAGTGAAAATCACTCAGCCTCATAGTTCGAGCCTACGTGTGACAATGAAACTGTCACACGTCGGCTCAATAGATCGGGAAGTGAGCGAACACATACTGTGGCTAGCTCACTTCTCGATCCTGTGCCTGCAGAGAGCCGTGACCGTCACTCACGGCTCCCTGCAGGGATCCCCCCCTGCCCTATCCGATCCTCCAGTGCTGACTGGCAGAGCCAGCTGTCACTCACGCAGCTGGGTGGATCCAGACAGCATTGTCGGGATCCGTCCTGGCTGCGGCGTCTCAGTATAACCGCGACACTAATTTGTGTCCTCCCGTGACCCTTAGGAGAACTATGGGGAAAAGCATTGACCCCATAGTTCTCCTTTAATACAATGCCACTCTTCTGATTAGACTGTCAATATTATGTGACAATATCTTACCAACATACAGTAGATACCTTATGGCTAGGGTGACTTACAAGTGGCTGTCCATTTACCAGTATTTGTTCACCAAAAAAAAATTCACCTCAATCATTAAAGTGCAACTCAAGCCAAAGCTTTTTTTTAAAGTTTTGGATGGAGTAGAGAAGGATCAGTACAGCTGTCAGGTTTTTATTGCTGTCTGTGACCCTGTTAGGGAGATTCACCTGCATTTGTCCTGTGACCGTTATCACTGAAAGTGAAAGAAAATTCTAAATTGGTTAAAAAGCAACATTATTATTATAGGCATTTTTATAGCACCAACAGTTTACACATTCACATCAGTCCCTGCCCTCAAAGAGCTTACAATAAAAAAGTTCCAATCTCTAATGCAAGTTTAATTACCCTACCAGCATGTCTTTGGCATGTGGGAGGAAACCAGAGTACCGGGAGGAAACCAGAGTATCTGGAGGAAAGCAATGCAAGCACAGGGAGAACATGCAAACTCCATGCAGATTGTGTCGTGACTGGGATTCAAACCAGGGACCCCCCAACCCCTGAAATAGACCTACGCATGTTACTTTTGAGCCAGCCTGACTGAATATTGATTTTGCTGAGCTTTAAAAATATGCGTTAACACATGCTTTAAGGTTCATATAGACTTTAGATGGGTGTTGACTGCACATAATCTGGTTGCTGATAATCTTTCTCATACATCATTGAAAGATTAGGTGAACTGGAAAGGGAAGTGGTGCAATGTTCAGATTTTCCTAATGCTGGCCTATCTCTGGGGGTAAACAATACAAATTGTCCTGGAATATCCAACTCTGCAAATTAACTCTTCAAGACACCTGTGCTTGAGCAAGACATAATATTCTTAGCCAATTGGAACTGGCCAAATTGGTCAAATGTTTCCTTATTACTGTAACGAAGTTTAGAAGTAGTTTACTACTGTATATACTTGATGAAGTGATGATGAAATGAAACCTTTGTCTTAATTTACATAGGTGCCAGGATGAGAATAATAAATGGACGTGAAGCTGCCCCTCACTCCAGGCCTTACATGGCTCTCATAAATCTTGAAAGACACGATAATGAAATAATATGTGGAGGAAGTTTAATAAGACCGAGATGGGTGTTAACTGCTGCCCACTGTGATAAGTAAGTACATCTACTATGTCTGGCTGCATGGAGACAGGTAAATCCTGCTTTTAATATGATGAAGAGCAATACTTCCCATTTTAGTGCCATATTTACCCAAGACTGTATATATTGTCTGTGAAGACTCTCATTTACCCAGGTCATGGTACATTTTGTGTTAGTTATTCACATGCATATGGACATGTTCTGCAATGTTGGACTTGTTTTGTAGTGTTGGACTTGTTCTGTAAAGTTTCACCACTCTTCCAAGTAGCTTCTTCCGTGTTAGAAACGCATTCAGTACCCGAGTTACCCACAGTCAAAAGGAAACATTTGACCAATCTGACCCATGCTAGAAGACTGAACCTATATGCATGGACTTAGGGCCGGCCTTAAGGGTGTGCGACCTGTGTGGTCGCACAGGGCGCCATGACAACAAAGGTGCCAGGCGGCCGACACAGCTCGTCCTCGGGGCGGCATCTCTCCTCCTCACTGCTGGCCATCCGACATGACAGCGCTCCCTCGTCCCCACACACACACACACACACACACACACACACTTCAGCACTGATCCGCTGTTCTCGGATCCCCGCTGCCTGTATGGGCTGAGGAATCGGGGTTCAGAGGAGAAACTGCGGGGGGGGCACAGGAGGGAGCGCTGCCTGCTGTCATGATGGATGAGCGGTGAGGGGGAGAGAAGCTGCGCCCGTAGCTGTCAGGATGGCCGAGCGGGGAGGAGATCGTACCCGCTGTCATCCTGTCAGTTTCAGGATGACAGCGGCTTTGTGCGTGGCAGATCGGGGGATCGGTAAATATCAATGATACTTACTTATCGATCCTCCAGGTGAGAAGGACAAACACTGGAGAGATCGGCTGATGTGTCCCCAGTTATGAATGAACAGGCTGTGATATAAATGTTCATTCAAGATTTCCTCAATGGGGAGAAGCACTCAGTACAGAGGCTCCTCCCCATTCAGAAACTGCTGATAGTAAAACATTTACTATCAGCAGTTTCTGAATGAATGGGAAGCCTCTGTGCTTTCCATTCGTTGAGTGCTGAGGCTGCAGAAAAAGAAATGGAGGATTTGATGTTCTCAATTTCTTTTCTATTTTAAAAGGGAAATGTCAGGGGTCTGTTTGGACCCCTACTATTTCCCCGAAGCCCCCCCAACAGTAAAAAACAAATAAATAAATAATAAAAAAATAAAAAATTATAAAAAAAAATAAGTTTAATACCTTTGAATAAAAGTTTTATTTTTATCATACTTTTTAATATCTTTCTTTGCGGCTTAACAAAATAAGAGTCTTTAAATGGTGCGGATATTGGGGAAAATGGGTGTGGTTACTGGGTTGTGGCCACTAAATGGTTTCGCCACTGAGGGGTGTGGTCACTGAGGGGCGCTGTAAAGGTGCCCATACACTGCTCGATTCTCGTATGAGAATCGCGGGAAATCCCGCGATCGTACGAGAATCGAGCAGTGTGAACGGAGACGTGCAACCGTTTCTACTGTACGGTCGCACGTCTTCCGTCGAACCAGCATGTTCGAAAACCAGCCGGGAATCGTACGATTCTCGGCTGGTTAGAACGGTGCTCGGAAGACAAATGCCGAACGGGCCGGTGTGAGCCACTTTCCACACCTTATGCTCCAATAAAAACACACAATACACACTTTAAAATTAAAAAAAATCTACTAAATGTATTCCCTACAAAATTATAAACTGTTAATAAATAGCACATGCATCAAGACTTAAAATTACAACCCCAATTCCAAAAAAGTTGGGACGCTGTGTAAAATCTACATAAAAAAAAGAATGCAATGATTTGCAAATCTCATGAACCCATATTTTATTCACAGTTGAAAATAGAAAACATGTTAAATGTTTAAATTAAGAAAATATACAATTTTAAGAAAACAAATAAGGTCATTTTGAAATTGATGGCAGCCACACGTCTCAAAAAAGTTGACAGGGCAACAAAAAGCTGGCAAAGTAAGTGGTACTAACGAGGAAGAGCTGGAAAAACATTTTGCCACTAATTAGATTAATTAGCAACAGGTCAGTAACATGATTGAATCAGAGCATGAGAGAATCTCGGAGAGTCAGTGTGCCTCAGAAGTAAAGATGGGCAGAGGTTCACCAATCTATGAAAAGCTACATCTAAAAATTGTTAAACAATTTCAGAATAAAGTTCCTAAATGTAAAATTGCAAAGACTTTAAATATATAATCATCTACAGTACATAATATCATCAAAAGATTCAGAGAATCTGGAGAAATCTCTGTGCAAGGGGCAAGACTGAAATAATATTGGATGCCCGTGATCTTCAGGCTCTCAGAGGCACTGCATTTAAAACAGGCATGATTGTGTGATGGACATCACTGCATGGGCTCAGGAATACTTCCAAAAAGTATCTGTCTGTGAACACAGTTCACTGTGCCATCCGAAAATGCAAGTGAAAGCTCTTTCATGCAAAGAAGAAGCCATATCTGAACATGATCAAGAAACGCCGCCGTCTTCTCTGGGCCAAAGCTCATTTAAAATGGTCTGTTGCAAAGTGAAAACTTGTTCTGTATCGAAATTTGACATTCTTTTTAGCAACCATGGGCGCTGCGTCCTCCGAACTAAAGAGGAGAGGGACCTTCCGGCTTGTTATCAACGCTCAGTTCAAAAGCCTGCATCTCTGATGGTATGGAGGTGAATTAGTTGTGTCCCAAAACACCATCAACTGGTCTCCTCAGCTCTCAGACGTTTACAGAGTGTTGTTAAAAGAAGAGGTAATGCTACACCATGGTAAACATGGCCCTGTCCCAACTTTTGTGAGACGTGTTTCTACCATCGATTTCTAGAGTACCTTATTTTTTCTTAAAATTGTACATTTTCTCAGTTTAAACAATGATATGTTTTCTATGTTCTATTGTTAATACAATACGGGTTTATTCGATTTGCAAATCATTGCATTCTGTTTTTATGTAGATTTTACACAGCGTCCCAACTTTTTTGGAATCGGGGTTGTAAATGTACCCGTGGGTACCCATTATTAGTGTTCTCTGACTCTGTTGACTGTTTTCAGTTAGCACTGTCCCCAGTTCTCTATGAACTGCAAAACGCCTACCTCTTTGTTTATGTAGACCAAAAGAGGGGTGGTGTTCCGCAGTCCTGTGCAATGGTGACAACGCTGCTCCTCTATAGATACAGTATAGTACTCCTTGTACAGGAACTGTCACTTCAGGATTATCAGGTGAAAATAATATTTAAAAAATATAATGCAACATGTTACATTTTTGTTCCTTGGTTTAGAAAACCTTTTTATCTCAGGGGTGACCTGCACCCCCAAGGCCTCTACACATGCCTCCTCTCCTTCAGCAGAGGAGCAGCCATGTGTTATTAGAGTTGGTGGCTCCACCTGCTGTCCATACAACTGGAACTTAAATCTGGAAATTCTCACTACTTCCACGTTCGCAGTGTTCCTGCAATGCTGCTGAAGGATTCAACTTGATCCAATCCCACCCATGCAGCTGTGCAGCAGTAGATTACTTTTAGTACTGATCCTTTGCTGGCTGCAATCAGCCAGCAATTGATCACTATTGCAGTGATCTACTGCTGTGTGGACAAACGGGACAGAGATACAACAGCTCTATCTGAGGCTCTGTACTGACAGCGAGTTTGGTGGGGTCACTACACTTCCGATGTAAACATTATGTAGAAGCATAGTGTTAACATCCACTTCCATGCCATGCTCTTATGGAGCGATCTGTAGAAGCCTAGAAGCTCTTGGGCTTAGTGCTGATGTCCACTCTTGTAGACAGCTGGCGATTTCAGCCTTGACCCCTGTAGGAGCAGCTGATTCCTGCCACCATTTTAAAATAGTGCTATCCCAGCACCATTTTTAGATGGCTGCGACTCAAAAGTAGCTGACAACAAGAAATGTAAGTCTGAGGAAATGCTTCCAGCTGCCAGCAGCAGACTGATGACATTATCCCAAGGTGCCCCTCTCAGGCCTAGGGACAGTCACTTCAGTGGAACTTAAGGACTGCTCTTTAATGATAAAAAGTCACAAATTATTGCAGTTATATATTGTAGTACATCAATAATTTAGTAATGCAAACTTACTTACTTAGATTCATTTATAGAGACTTGTAATAGCCTCGAAGCTGATCAGTAGTAGTGGAGACCCCTGCCAATCAACAGCAGAGGAATTGGAGGACAGGTTTTATTGCTTCGGTCTGGAAGTGGAAAACTCCTCTAAATAATTAGCGTCCCATGCTGTATGTACTGTTGGCGTGCATATGTCTCGGTTAGTTTAACTCAAACCAGTAGAACAAACATTTCTCATTCTCTTTTAGGTTTGGATGGACAAAAAAAATAATTCTTGGAGCTCATTCCAGGGAAAGGAAACCAAGTGAACAGTGGTGGCAAGAATTTCGAGTGGAAAAATCTATCAAGCACCCACATTTTAACAAGACAAATTTAAGCGGTGACCTTCGGCTAATGAAAGTAAGATTGAAAGTATATTCTTTATAAAGTTAGTTGTAGCGGAAAGAATTTCTACTTCAGTAGTAAAATCCTCAGACATAACCTCCCCCTTCTCAGGTATTGGGCAGCACAGTGGCCTAGTGGTTAGGGATGGGCTTGATGTTCGAGTCCAACAGCAGTGCGACTTGAACATCAGTAGTTTGTGTGTTCGGCCAACACACAAAGTATCAGGGCGTTCTGAGGGCTATTCGCCCGCTGAGCGCCTCACAAGGCACTGCGCACCGCAGAGAGGTGAATCCCTGAGTGGGTAAAGCAATGCACCTGACCACAGGTCAGGTGCAAGACTTTGCTCAATCACGGTACAGTGCACTGTAAGAGCCATGATTGGGTAAAGTAATGTAACCAATTGCTTATATTTTGCGGCATCTGTCAGAATGCTATTCTGCGGCGGGAGTTCGTCACAATCGGACTAGTCGTTAGGCGTCCGTTTTTTTTAAATTATTTCTATTTATTTTTTATTTTCTTATTTCGTCGAGTCGTTGACGTCTGTGTGACATGCTGGACGTCGTGATTGACCTTAGGTCGGTGGATCCATTTTTTTTAAAATAAAAGACTTGTCAAAAACATGTCTTTTGGTTTTGTTTTGTTTTTCAATTAAAGGATTTTTTCGTAAGTGTGGCATCTTTTTTACAATTTGAATTTAACCCTTTAGTGAATGGGTAGAGCCCTTACTCATACACAAGAAAGGGGGCCGCATCTGGGTGCCCATTAAATGCGATGTGAATAAGCCCCCTGCCCGCACCCCCAAAACCAACGTCCCAGGGCTTGTGGGGAAGAGGCCCTTGTCCCCATCGGCACGGGGACAAGGTGCTTTCCGGGGGTGACCCTGAAAAAGCACCCTCCCAGTGCTGAGGGCATGTGGCCTGGTATGGCAGGGAGGAGGGGTACCTCCTTAAAATTCCTACCAGACCTTAAGGGCCTGGTATGACTTCGAGGGGGGAACCTCACACAATTTTTCTTTTGTTTTCTTTTAAATGGGGTCTCTCCTAAAATTCCTATCAGACCTTAAGGGTCAGGTATGACTTTTGGGGGGAACCCCATGCTTTTTCTTTTATTTTTATTTAAACGGGGTCCCTTCTAACATTCCCACCAGAACTAAAGGGTCTGGTATTGTTTGGGAGGGGGAGCCGCACGCTTTTTTTTCTTTATAAATAAAATGTTTGCTGCAGCAGGTTCTATACATCGTACAGATGTGCCACTTTACAGGCAGTTTAAGATGATCCCCAAGGCACGATATTTAAAAGTAATTTCTCATTTTTATTGTTTCACTTTAAGCAATGTTAAAATCTATGCTCTATTAAAAACTGTATTTTTTAAGAGTGTTTTTTTGATTAATACATGTCCCCCAGGGCAGTACCCGAATCCTCACCCTTGTTATGGCCAATAGCTTGCATATAAGCCTTCAAAATGGGGACATTTGACTTTCTGAGTTCTGGTCCCATAAACTTTCATTGAGTTCGAATTCAAACTTTTTCCATGTTCTAATGTTCGAACTCGAACCGAACTCAGGTGTGTTCGGACCATCACTAGTAGTGGTTAGCGCTTCTTGCAGCACTGGGGGGTCCCTGGTTTGAATCCCGGCCAGGTCACTATCTACAAGGAGTTTGCATGTTCTCCCTGTGCTTGTGTGGGTTTCCTCTGGGTGCTCCGGTTTCCACCCACACTGCAAAGACATGCTGGTAGATTGGCTCCTGTCTAAATTTTCTCTCGTTTGTACACATGGGAGACAGGGACCTTACTTTGTAAGCTCCTTGAGGGCAGGAACTGATGTGAATGTCCACTGTGTAAAGTGCTGCATAAATTGGTGGTGCTATATAAATACCAATTAATTTTTAAAAAGCCATGACAGGCTGGGCTCATGGGAAGTGGACCGAATGGGCATTATTTAACCCACAAGCCTGGGATCTTCTAATGGTGGAAAGGTAATAATACATGGGGAACTCCAGATTTAAAGGTGAGCATTGCAGCAAAAGCTGTTTTTTAATTTTTAATTTTACTAATCAATACTTTTTCCTGGAGCTCTGCTTTAAAGATTCTGAAATCTTATCCAATAGAACATTCTCTGCAAATTTCCCATTAAAAAAAATGAAACTAATGCTGGTTAAACCAGGTATCTCTATGACTGGGGAGAGACCCATCATTGATATTCACCACCACCATCCGTTACCTAATGCAGTGTTCTAATACCAATGGCATTGACCCCATTTCATCTTTTATTATTCTTCATCCTATTCTAGGCACTTTTCCCAAGATGCAGAATGTTGCTTTTGTTGTGTGTTCTATGTCACATTGTATATTAGGTATTTTAGCAATATTGCTTCTTTTTATTTCAGTTAAACAGAAGAGCCAAGCTAACAAAAGGCGTTCAACTTTTAAAATTACCAACCACTTTTGAGGACCCTGGAGAAGATAGTACATGTGAAACAGCTGGATGGGGACAGACAAAAAATGCTGATGCAGCAGATAATCTGATGGAAGTTAATGTCACAGTTTTAGAAAGAGATAAATGTGCCAAACACTGGAGCAAGCACAGCGCAAATATAACAGAGAACGTGATTTGCACTATTGTGGGACCGGGAGGCAAAGACACATGTGGAGTAAGGCTTAACCTCTTCCCTCTTTCTCTTCAATAGGAAAGTCACATATGATAGCCAGGAACTCATGGCATTCTCCCTGCTGATCTATGGTCTCCTTTTATAATACTTATACACATTACAATCTGATCATAAGATTTCCTGCAATTGTTTTTTTGATGATGGCAACACGCATGGAGCTGTAGAGGATCAGATGTGACCAGTATGGATGGGCTATTGAAACCCCACCCACTGAGCAGAGGAGCAGACCTGAGAGAGAAAGTTGTGTCAGCTCCGCTCCTCTGCTTAGTGGGCGGGTGCAATAGCAAGCCTGCTATTGGCTTTTTCAATTTGAAATAGATGGGGGGCGCCATGAGAAAGTGAGTGGTCAAGGCTGCGCCCCAGGCTGCAGTGTGCCCTAGGCGGCTGCCTAGTTTGCCTAGTGGCAGCACCGGCCCTGACTGCACAGTGCCTTGCGAGCACTGATTGGCTAAAGCCTTGCACCTCACCAATCACAGCACAGTACTCTGTAAGAGCCATGATTGGGCAAAGTAATGATGACTTTGCCCAATCATGGCTCACCTCTCAGGTGCCATACAAACGTAAACAGTTGGGCGGAGGTAGCTGTCACCGCTAGCTCCACCCAATTACATAGTTACATAGTATTTGAGGTTGAATAAAGACATAAGTCCATCAAGTCCAACCTATTGTGTGTCTGCATTTATGTTTGAGCTGGTATGTGCTTGTGTATGAGTGCATGTGTGATTTTGCTCTTAGGAGTACCTGTACCCCTGTATATTATGGTCTCCGAGGAACTCTTGAATTATTCCACACTCTTAGCTGAGATCACTTCCTGCGGCAGAGTGTTCCAGACCTTAACCCAGGGGTCTCAAACTCAATTAACCCGGGGGCCACTCGACACATAAAAAGATACTACCCCTGCACAAATAAAATAATGCACCCCCTCCATACACATAAAACAATACTACCCCTCTGCATTTAAAATAATACACCTCGTGCCGGTCCCAGCCGCACCGGCCACATTGGATCACGGACCAGCAGCGGCGACGAGCAGACAAAGGTACGGGGGGAGGAGGGAGGGGCGGTGCACACCCGCAGCTCCTGCAAGCGATCGGGCGTCTCTAGAGACGCCTGATCGCTTGTATGTAAACAGCCATCGCTGGCTGTTTACATGCTTACAGTTTTCCCTCTCGTGTGCGCGCTGAGTGCCGCACACGAGAAGGGGGAGGGGCAGGATGTCTTAAGATGCCCTCCCGCTCCTAGCAGACGTCCGTCCGGCCGTTCACAAACGGCCATGGACGGAAGGTAGTTAATAATGTTGCTGTCGCCATTGAACAGTTTATACAAGAAAATCATGTCCCCCCTTAATCTTCTAACCTCCAAAGAGAACATATTTAATTTTAACAACCTTGTTTCATAGTTCAGGTCCTCGAACCCCTTAATGAGTTTGGTTGCCCCCCTCTGGACTTTTTCCAGCTCAGGACATCTTTTCTGAGTGTTGGTGACCAAAACTGGACCGCGTACTCCAGATGAGGCCGAACCAGTGATCTATAAAGTGGTACAATTATAGACTTGTCCCTGCAATACATTCCCTTCTTAATGCAAGACAGGACTCTGCTAGCTTTGTTTACAGCAGCCTGGCACTGCAAGCTATTATTCAATCTGCGGTCTATAATGACCCCCAAATCCTTCTCCGTTTACGACTTCCCTAGTGGCACCCCCATAAGTGTATAGTCCATTTGCCTATTTTTAACTCCAAGGTGCATTACCTTACATTTATCGACATTGAACTTTATCTGCCATACTGTTGCCCACTGTGACGGACCCCCGTACTCAGGATGAGTATGTCCGCCGCTGTCTTCTTCCTTCCTCAGGAGATATCGAAACCCGCTGATCGGTAGCTCTCAGTTTCCCCAGTCACTGGTCGGGACACGAGTGTAGGTGAAACAAACTCTGATTTATTGAGCAACTGCACAAACTTTTATACAGCAAGTGATGAGATCAGATTATAATCCCATCACATCCCCCTTCCCCTCCCCAGAAATCCTGTCTTCACAACACCACAGGTGTCCACCTGATAAATAGCTCCAGACAGCCATAGCAGGAGCCTGGCCAGAATGTCATTGTTCTGAGCTCCCTCAGAGAACAATGGGAGATAACGAGGGATGGTGCTGATGGTCTTTTCATAACCAGGTCACACAGCATAACGCACTCAAACATAACTCAACACCCATACACAGTTAACTTATAAACTCATCACCATGCCGTCACACCCACTCCCTGAGTTTATATTTTGTTTATATTTTGTGGGCATCTGTCAGAATGCCATTCTACGACAGAAGTTTGTCGCGAGCAGAAGGGTTGGCGGGCGTCTGGCTTTTTTTTCATTATTATTATTATTTCTATTTATTTTTTTCTTGTTACATTTTTTATTTTGTCAAGTCATCAACGCTGGACGTCGTAACTGACCCTAGGATTACGTTGGTGGATTAATTTTTGGGGGGTTTAAAAAATAAATAAAAGACTTGTCAAAAAACATGTCTTTTTTTTTCAATTAAAAGGATTTTTTCAAAAGTCTGGCCTCTTTTTTAAAACTTTAATGTAACTCTTTAGTGAATGGGTAGGGGTACCCTTACTCATTCACAAGGAGGGGGGGCACTTGGGTGATGTTGTGGGGAAGAGGCCCTTGTCCCCATTGGCACAGGGACAAGGTTCTTTTCCAGGGGCAACACTGGAAAATCACCTTACCGAGTGCCAGTTTTTTTTTTTATAAATGTAATTTTTTTCATGATAAATGTCACTTTTTGCTGCAGCAGGTTCTATACATCTTACAGATCCACCACATCACAGGCAGTTTAGGGGACCCCCAGGCATGATATTTAAAGGAATTTTTTTATTTTTATTGTTAAAACCACTGCTCCTTTAAAAACTGTATTTTAAAAAAAAGTTTATTTTTCATTGATTCCTGTCCCCTAGTGCAATACCCGAATCCCCATACACTTTTTATGGCCAATAACTTGCATATAAGGCTTCAAAATGGGGACATTTGATTTTCAGAGTTCTGGTCCCATAGACTTTCATTGAGTTCGAATTCAAACTTTTTTCATGTTCTAGAGTTCGAATTCGAACCGAACTCGGTATGTTCGGCCCATCACTAGTGACCAGAACATTCTAATCACACTGACTAGAGTAACAATTGGATAGTAAAGTGTGTGGTGTGCTTGCAGTCTGTTCAGCTTCCATTCATAATGTGATTGATTTTAGTTGTGTTTGTGGTGCTCAATTTTATTTAACTGTTTATAAAAACAAAGACTTAAAAAGAAGACAAAGCATTTGTGTGTGTACCAGCAATGCAAGAACTGAACAAAACATTGTAACTATTATGATCTGTCAGTTAAAGTACCGCAGCGCTGAATACTGAAAAATGGCCTGGATGGGAAGGGGGTTTAACACCGCGGATGTCAACTGGTTAAATATTGATTGCAGAGCATGTACACTATGCAGAATTAAATACCCATCAAACTGGACCTGTCAGCAGCCTCCCATCCACCATCCTTTGATCTGAAAGAGTTAGGTGAAAAATAGTTGACTGAACCGCTAGCGACTGCAGTCAAAGAGCCACTGTCAGACTGCAATAGCCCGGCAGGAGGGATCCCCCAAATCTCCAGCATGGATGGAGGAATCTGTTAGATTTTTTTATCTACTAGTTTATGACCAGCTTATATGTGCAAGCATGATCTGACTGCCCTCTACCACTGCTGTCTAGCCAGCTCTCTCATAGATATGAATATATGAATAAAATGTTTGGCCAATATTCTTGTTTATTAACATGCAGGAGGCACATTGAGAGAGGAGCCAAATGCTACCAGCGCCTCTCACCCTGCGGAAGAACAATTATATTTGATCGTTTATACCAATGGTGGTGTCCCAATGGGCTTCCTCAAGGTCTACTAGTATGACATTATTAACAGATTAAGGATTAGTTCACACCATTAGCAGTGCATTCCGGTCCGATTCTGGCCAGAACGCACTGCCTCGCATTGCGGCCGGCTCACTTTTGTGCCTGGCTGGAGGGGGTGTGGCGGTCCATTGAAGTCAATGGAACGCAATGCGATCGCCCGCACAGGATGACAAGGCACATTGTGCCTGCAGTGTGGTCCGGTGCGATCAAAATGCTGCAAGCACTATTCTGATCGCATCGCACAGGACCGCACTGTGAGTGGCTGCTGGTGGTGCACCCCAGGGGGGTGGCTGCTGGTGGTGCAGGTTGGGCGGGGGTTTCCTGTGGGGAACACTCTGAGGTTGGGGGGGATGGAGGGGCCCCAAAACAGAGCATCCAGCTTAGCTCCTGGGAACAAGTGACATCACTGCTGGGTGGGATGCTGGCCAGAGAGTCCCAGGTTACTAAAAGCTTAGCTCTTAGCAAAATGGGTAGCTCTGGCAGGAAAGGGAGTGGCAGGCAGACCGCAAACATTGTGCAGCAGAGCGGCCAAGCTACTTTTCTTGTCAGCCTCGCATGTGACACAAAGAGATGCCACCTAAGAGACGCTGCCTCATTATAGGGACAGCCCTGCAGCCATGTAGCTAATAATTTCAGAAGGCAGTCAGCAGCTGGCACCAGGAACATGGCACTAGCAGTTAGTTTTAATTGTGAAGAAATTGTTGCATTGTTTCTTAAGAGGAATAAAGATAAGAAAAGGTTTTATTTTTTTCTTTGTTTTAACAGGGAGATTCAGGCGGTCCCTTAATCTGCAATGGAGAATTTACAGGGATGACTTCATTCGGGGAAGGTGTATGTGGAAAATTGAAAGATGCATCTGTCTTTACTCGTCTGACTGAGGAATACATACGTTGGATAACTGAAACAATAACCGACTAAAGTTGGGTATACATACATGCAGGCTGAACGAAACATTTTTTACAGATTCCTCCATCAACGCTTGCGAGTGTTAATGGACAGATCCCCCCTCCCCCGTTTGCATTGTATTTGGCCACATCCAGAATACTACCACTGTCAGAATACTCGAATTAAGCTAGCAGCTGATTGGCTAACAGCTTCGTTTGACTGAGAATTTTCTAACCTGCTCATTCGATCAGTTGATTAAGGGATGCCAGGCGGAAGAGTGCCGACAGCGGCACCCACTGTGTGAATTAAGTACGGTTCATCTTGAAGCATACCCTACTTAAGTCCAGAGCTAAATTGTTATTACTGTCATACTGTTTAAAAATGTCATTGAGCTGTAAATCCCATACAGTATAGAAATGTGGATTCTATTAAGTGAAATATTACAATAAAAAACTAACAAAAAGACCTTTCCCACTTTAAAACAAACTAGCATTAATGTCAATGGGGTTTATTTACTAAGCCCCTGTCCATGCTGTTGTGTCGCAGTAATGAACGTTCATGAGGTGCCATTCATTGTGAATTCTCAAAGCACATGTTGGAATGCTGAATTTTTTGCTGTATTTTGGTTAGAGATCCACCAAAATTTCGTCTGCCAAAATATTTCAGGCGAAAATGGTACTTTGAGCAAAATGCCGATAGTACCATAACGGCTGGAAATGCGGCCATAAAATTCAGTGCATCCCTAGGTTCTCTCCTCCCTGCTGGATGCTGGTTTGTGTCCCCTCCAATGTCTGCTGCTCTCCCCCAACTGTATCGGCAGAGGCAGCAGGGATCCGAGGGGACACACAGGATCCAGCTGCCAGCACACAGCGGGGAGGAGGGAAGCTTCCAGGAGGCCAAGCGGTGCGGGGAAGAGAGCTGTCAGGATGCTGAGCGGGGTAGTGAGGAGAATGAGAGAGCTGTCAGCTCTCACAGGAGGCCAAGCTCTCCTGCCGCACCACCATCAGGATGGAGAGCGTGTTACAAGCACTCAGCGATCAGGACTGATCGCTGAGTGTTTTCAAAATAACTGAGGACATAGTATGCTTACTGTGTCCCCAGTTATAAATGCACAGGAAGTGCTCTAGATCACTTTCTGTTCATTCATGATTCTGGACATAGTAACTCATACAATATCCACAGTTTATGAATGGACAGGAGCACTCAGCATAGAGGCAGGGCCGGTGCTTCCACTAGGCAAACTAGGCAGCCGCCTAGGGCGTACTGCTGCCTAGGGCACAGCCTCAAACACTCACCCCCCATCCCCCACCCCCCACTCCTCATGTCTTCTCATGCTGGGGGAGAGCTTCCCTTTGCAGCTGAGTGCCTCTTCCTGTAGTGCTGGCTCAGGTTGCAAACCTATACACAGACACCATGTAGCCATTTCAGAGACAAGGCAGTCTGCTGCAAAACAGAAGTTCTGCCCAGCATGAGAACAGATACAGATTTAAAAGGAAGAGCAGCAAAGAGAAGGGAAGCAACCATGGATTACAGTAAGGCACACATTACAGTATTGTTTTATGTTAAAAAATCTGAGGGTTTAATGTCACTTTAATATACAGATTCTTCATAGTAGTGTCTTGATCCGGCCTGCCCGCCTGCTGTACCTTCATAGGTCACAATTGGGTGAGGAGACAGGTGAGGGTGTGAAGGATGAAGCAAGTCAACTGTAAACACTGATGACTTTCTATTTGCATATTGCTAAAGTTGTTTTGGAAAATACCCATTGCTGACAAGCGTACATGATGCTTCTCCCTTCTGAGGGTAAAAGATTTGTACATTTTAAATTATTCATTTATTTTATTAATATCATCAGCATAATTTCCCCACTACAGAATAATAGAAATGGCCAGGTTGGGCATATTGGTTGAAATAATGAAACATATTGGCAAATGGGAATCCGGTGTTTCTGCCACAGGACCAATTTTTCCATTTTTTTATTCATGCATTTTTGGCTTGAAAACTTACTTAAAACAACCCACAACAATTACAGATTTTCTGAAAGAAGAGAATCTGTAAAAAAAAAAAAAAAGATGGTAGCTTAATTTTTCTAGAAGAAAAGACCCTTCTAGAAGTTTTGACCGACTATTTATCACCTTCCCCTAGCTCACACCACTCAACAAAAACCCTCAGTAATTGACTAAGGCATATGAATAGGCATAACCCATACATTGCTACCTCTGACACTAACTACTGGAGACAATGAAAAGACAGTAGGCAGAAATAATCAGTGTCCAGAGCTTAGGAGAAACCTACAGAGCACAGAAATTGTAAAAAAGCTCAGGCTGGCAACACCCCACCTTCAAAAAGAACATCAAACTCAAATAGGGACCCTTCACTCTCCCCCTGCTCCAAATGGCTTGGTCCTTAAAGTCTGAACCTAAAAATACTCTAATTTCTGATAGTTGTGTATTATGTTTAACAATTGGAAAGGGAAGAAATTGACTGAGGGAAAGAAAAACAGTGTCACAACAGCTTGTAAAATTGCATGTGAAATCCAGAAAGGTACAAGAAGTGTGGTACACATAACAAAAAACAAAAGATCACTGTGACTAGGCCAAGCAGCGACAGGTATTTTTTGATGCTTCAGAACACCCCATTAATGTCCCCCTAATAGTAATACTGCATTTTTCATAACAGTGTGAAATATACAGTACAGTGCTAACAATATAAATGCAATGTTTCCTCAAGTGCAAACATTATCCAGATTTATCCCCTGCAAGAGAACACAGAAAAACATACCACGATTCATATTCTAAAGCATCATTTTCACAAGAATTACACTCCAATGCATTTTAATTGGCATTATAAGTCATTATAAGTCAATGACAAATCTAGTGGTATCTTTAAAGTCCATCTCTGACATATACGTAGTCCCCACCTGGTGGCGAAAAAGTGTAATACCATTAGCACAAAGTGCTTTTATGCACCACTGGTAGATCCTGTAAAAATAGTGAGGCAAACGTAGTTAGCAGTTTAAAAATAAAGATTGGTCCCAGCAAACAACACATGCTAACTACAAACTGTTTACACACTATGGAGCAGAAAAGTCCCAGTTCATAAGATCTCACAGGTTCATCTGATCACATACTAAACTGACCAAGAGCACTTACCATAAACTGTTATGAACATCATGAACAGTTCAAGTCTCACCAATGGCAGTCCAGAAACAAGAGACCAGCACTTTAATCATCAATGAACACATGTTGTAACCACTGTCAACCAGGAATAAGACACAAGCGTTTTCTTTGATCCAGGGACACAGTAACACAACCGGAATGAGAAGCAAGAAGCCAACAATATTTTTTCTCTGCAGCTACAAATCACAGAAAATGATTTGCTGGTAGTTTGGCCGATTTCCCCTGTTTATCCGAAGTAGTGATGCTGAAATTAGAATCTCTTTGTCTGCTCAAAGTAACTCTATCCATATAGGTATGCTTATCATAGCCCTAAGTGCAGCTGTTGTACTTGACGTGGTACACATAAGAAAGTCATTTTGAGCAATAGGGCTTTTGCACTCCTAGATAGTTTCAAAACCACGAACCACTACAACACTAAGCTCTGTGCAATTCAATTTCTTTCATCAAATTCTCCACCAAATAGGAGTACTGCAACCAAAACTACTGGGTGACTCTCATGCTGACTACTCTTTGTAGATGTTCTAGCTAGTTGGTTAGCTCTTTAGGGTTCCCACAAAATCTGGTGACCTTATGAGACACATTTCTTCAGCCTTTTTCTGAACCTCAGCACAAATGGCAGTCTATGGAGGGTAGTCACTAGGGTTATCACTGGACACATCCTCCATTTTGACTTGGGAGTGGCAATGTGTTAGCGCAAAAACAGCCGGAGCTGATGTTTGTAATGTCTCTGCGGGCTAAGGGGCAGACACCAGGACAGTAGTGTCCGTGTCTTCTATATCCCCACAGTCTTCCATTTCTTCCCTACTGTCTCCCCACAGCAGTTCCAGGGACATTGTCTCTACTGTATCCTCCTCTATAGGGGACTCAAAGTCTGACACTTAGATAAACTAATAACACTGACACAGGCTCCTCGATTGTATGCCCAGTCTTCCAATCCAGTGGAAGATTCGTTTGCAGCACTAAGAGCAGGAAGTCCCCAAAATGATTATGCCGGCCCCAGGGGTCATATTGCAGCTGATATCTTCATACAACTCCGGCATGAGATTCCCACAATTTTATACCTGATCATAGTGCACAAGGTTAAGCTTGCATGTGGTTCCATGTGGAACCATGGTTTCCTGGCATGACCAAGCTGCTTATTATACCTTATGCTTTTACCTTCACAGCAATTACTCACTGAAATAGTAAGATAGCACTAACCAGTTTCCGTGGAATAGCAGGGTCACCTCTATTTAGCACAAACATCGAAGGGGTTAGCTCTTAAACCTGGGTGAAGTATTTCCACTTTTGCAACCGAATTGGCACTTTGAGTACTCGCCCAAATACTCTATATCGACACCAATAGCGATGCTAGTATCGGTATCGATGCATCCATAGTCAGGAGCAAAGGATTACATCACTGACTTGTCCATTGTTTGTTAATGAAGTTAATGAGAGAAACACAATTCTCAAATTTTAGTCCCAAGTCTTTTTATTGTTATTATTATACAGGATTTATATAGGGCCAATAGTTTGCACAGCGCTTTACAAAATAAGGAAGACATTACAGTCACAATACAATTCAAGACAAGATGGTAAGGAGGGCCCTGCCCGTGAGGGCTTACAATCTAAAAGGGAGGGGGAAGTGATACATGAGGAGGGAGCTGTGTGGGGATGAATTCTTTGAGAAAGTGATTGAGTGGTTAGATGGGATAGGCTTCCCTGAAGAGATGAGTCTTAAGGGATCGCCTAAAGGCAGTCAGTGTGGGAGATAGACGGACAGGTTGAGGTAGAGAGTTCCATAGGATGGGAGACACTCTAGTGAAGTCCTGGAGGCGAGCATGGGAGGGGTTGATGAGGGAGCTGGAAAGCAGG